CGCAAGAAATGCACGCTCTTGTAGACGTCTCCGTACATGACAATGTCCTTGACCACACTGAGTGTCACGATGTACATCTGGCCGTCGTAGAACACACAGCCGATCAACTGCTCCGACTTGAACTCGTACACGATGAGCTTGGAGCCCACGGCGGCCAACACGTACGGGCCGAGCTGCGAGACCATGGAGACGGCTCCCTGTCTGTGCTCCTTGATGAATACCAGTCGCAGCTTGGGCAGCTTCCCACTTGTCGCGCCGCCTTCCTCGTTTACGTACTGCGCGTAGTCAAGTTCGTACAGCAGCAGGCGACCGCGACCGCTTTCATCCTCGCCATGGGGACCCACCCAGCCCGTGCCAACCACCAAGTACGGACGCTTCTTCTTGTTCCACTCCGGAGACGTCGACGCCACTTCCTCCTTCATCAGAGACGAGTCGTACAGATACATGAGCTTCACACTGAGCACCACCTCGTAGCGCTCAAAGTGAACACGAAACACTCCACGACGTCCCCACTCGCCGAACTCGTCCGTCTGTACCAAGCGCAACTCGTACACGTCTTCTTCAGTGTGCGCCATGTGGTCGGTCTCGTAGTCCGCGAACATCTCAGCGGTCGGCGCCATCACGTTACTGCCGAGAGGGTTCCCGTTCGGGTCCAAGTTCTCCGGTTCCAGCTCCTCCTCTGCGCCTTCCACTTCCGTGGCTCGATCTGCGTCGGCTGGCTTCAGTCTGGCGCTGCAAACGACAGCATACGTCGGCGCTTCAAGCGCTTCTGCCACACCTCCGGGACCGTGGCTGCCCAAGTACAGCATGTGGTGTAGCGTAGCTCCAAACTCCGCCTTTTGGAGCACAAACCCGCCGCTGGAAGGCAGGATCGTCGACGTTTTACTGGACGGAAGCTCGCACACTCGCAACGCACCGCGGGAGTGGAAGTAGATGAAGCCATTCGGACAGCTCCAATGGTGGAACGGCGTGAAACTCAGCACTGGCACACTCACTCGAGGCGCGGCATTCTTGGACGTGCCATTCGCCTTAGGCGGAGCGGAGCTAGGGACGCACATGGGGACGAAGGACGCGTGGCCACGGTCTCCCAGAATCCACATCGGGTGAGCTCCTCGGAAGAACGCGCCGCTCATATTGTTGACGTTGTAGAAGCACGTCAGCA